CAGATGGTGAAATCAGGAGTTATTTTTAGCCCGTAATGGATGTGTGTGTCCACACAACTGGCAGCTTGTTAGCAAGGGATGACCATAAGGCAGTCTTAAGCAATTTTTAGCAGCTTTGAATGCTTTCGTAAAGTAAATCACATGTTAACGGTTGGTAGCTTTTATTTTCAGAATAGTTTTGCAACCATCACAGATGCTGTTACTTTATCTGTCAACTTGTAATGGCCTTTTAATATTAAAATATTGATGTAATTATTTTTATTCTCCTCCTTTTCCTGCTAATATTTTTCCCTTTGCTGCCTGTTCTTCTAAAGATTGCAATTCCTTTCTCTGGTGGATTCCATTCATCAGCAAAGAACCATTGGGAGGTAATGTCCTTTTTTTGCTTCCTTCAGTACAAAGTGATAGAACTAGTCACTGTGACGAAACTTAAGCTCGCCAGATATGTATACTCCTATCACAAAGCACTGTGGAGGTTGGAAATAGGAAATGTAAATGAAACCTCTGGAAATAATCAGCAAGTCAAGCAGCACCTAAGGGAATAGAAACAGAGTTAACTTTTTGGGTTGATAATCTATCATCAGAAGTTCCAATCAAAGGTCATCAACCTGAAACATTAATACTGTTCTGCTTTCCATACAGGCTGCTTGACTTGCTGAGTCTTTACAGCATTTTCTTTTTCCAATTTGCACATGTAACTTGAGGCTCTAGATAACAAAGTAAATTTTATTTCTCACTACTAAAAAATTAAACAAAAGAAAATGGAGAAATTGTAGTCCAGGCAGATTTACCAAGATCTGTTGACTCAATACAGACTAGGCAACAGCTTGAAACATACATATGTAACATTCTAATTCTACAACATATATACAAACATTTGTATTAGCTACTAGATTTGCCACGTGGCACCACCTTGAACCTAATCTGCCTTTCAATAAGATCATAGCTGATATGGGTACTCCACATTCCCACTTAATCCAATAAACTTTCACTCTTGCTTATCAAAAATCTGCCTTAAAAATATTTAAATATTTTGTTTCCCCCACCAATGCATTTCTCCTTATAACTGTCTTAAATGGGCAACTCCATTTCCACCTTCTCCCACATCCTTGCAAGACCCCTCAGGATCTTGCATGTTTCAGTAAAGTCATCTCTTACACTTTTAGTCTCCAACAAATACAAGCCTAATCTGTTCAATATTTCCTCATAAGACAACTCGCCTATTCCAATATTAGTCTAGTAAAGCTTCTCTGAACTGTTTCCAACACATTTACATTGTAAATAAGGAGATCAATACTGGACGAAAGCAGATGTGGTCTCACCAATGTCATGTATAAATGAAGTAGTATAACCTCCCTAAATTTACTCTGTTACCCCTGTAATAAACAGAATAATGTATGAGCTTTCCAAATTGCTTGCTGTACCTGCTTACTAACCTTTTGTGACCCATGCATGAGATTACCCAGGTCCATCTACCCCTCTTGCAATTTCGCTAATAACCCTTTTTTTTATTCTTTCTGCCAAAATACTCAATTCACTGCTATAATCCATTTGCCAGATCTTTGCTTACTCATTTGACCTATTTGTATTCCTTTGTAGCCTCTTGATGTACTATTTACAACTGCGTACTTTACTTGTGTCATCAGCAGGTTTCGCAACCACATTTTCAGTGCCTTTATCCAAGTCATTTATATAAATTGTAAGGAGGGAGGCCGCAGCATTGATCCATATGGCACAGCAGACTTTACATCTTGATTTTCAGGACATGACACATTTATACCTACAGTCTGTTCCTTGTAACCAGACTTGCAGGAAGCTGGCCTTCACTTTTCTCACTCAGTCTACCAGATTGAACCTGTAATTTTTCAAGGAGTTAGCATCTGCAAAGAGAATATTTTCATAGCTGTTTTTAAAATATTCAAAGTTTTCCTGTTCAATCTTGGCATCTAAATTCAACTTCCTAATTTATGGTTTATTTTTGAATTTTTAAAAAAAGTTATCTTATGAAATATTCTGAAAGTCAACTCATTCACATCTACAAATGAAAATGTTCATCTTTAAGAAAAACAGAATTGTCTAAAACATTTTTTTCTTTTCAGTGCATGGAATTCAAATTCAATTTCTTCTGTAACTTATCATTTAACCACTCACATTTCGGCTTAACAACCATGTTAAAACATGGGGATTTAATTCGTTGAGCTGCGCATTATTAAAAAAAAGTTAAATTCAAAGAAGACATAATTTCTTCTCTCATATGAAGTGCTATGCTCCTGTAAAATAAAATACATTTGCTAGTACCAACTGTTACACCTCTGATTTTGTTCATTAATGGTCACATTCAGTCAGTCCAATCAAATTAAATAGGATTGAAGACATCGTGACAATGAACCACATATCACTTACGTGTTTTTAGGTACCTTGAAACCCCCGAATACTCAGTGACATAGGAAATTTTCTGAAGCTATTGCTTCTATATCACATTAGTAGATAAAACATCCTACTGTAACATTTAATTTGTTACAATGCTATTGCTACTTCTGATGCAATAGCTGTATCACTCCCTAATTAACACAGCATGTTTAGTTACAGAATAAAACTGTCCAATCAATTGTTCAAAACCAAGAAAGCACCGCATTCTGATTTCTATTTCTATAGCAGCCAACTGTTTTGTCAACAAGGTTGCCAATTTAGCAACTTATTACAAGCAGTTATGTAGTGTGCACCCATAGCTTAGAAACACATTTTTCTATCAGTTTGGGCTGGGCTTGATTCTAGACTCGAGAGACTACAGCCTGGTGATTAAGTCATTCAGCCCAGTATCTACGGTAGCAACCACACAAAACCCTGGTGAGGGTAACCCTTCAGGTTAGTACACTTCTGTACAGTACTGAAGTTTTCTTCTTAGGGATCATTGTTCTGCATCTTTTGACCTGCAAGACACCAACAAGGTTGAAATAGTTTGGCCTTTGCTTCCACTTGCAGGATGTATGCATTATAGCTGGCTGTTGGAAGACATGGAAGGAAATATCACATCATGTAGTTAACTCAATTTGCACTATCTAGCCCCAAATATTCAGGTCCAAATGGCTCTGTTGGACAGTTTCAGGAATATCTGAGTGACAGCCTATTGAATTACATTTAATGCATTTTCAGTGCCGTGTTGCACTACTAGCTATAGCCAGTTCCAGTCAAAACATCACACAGCCAGTTTGTCCAGTGCAGATAGTGACAGTCCTTCACCTGTGACCAACTTTTAAAAAAATGTATTTTTAATAAACCTGTTCAGACATGCTGTGACACACCTCTGGGATAGGTGGGGCTTGCACAAAGACCTTTTGCCCAGAGGTAGGGACACTATCACTGGACTACAAAAGCTCCTGTAACCAGCTTGTGGTCTCTTAAAATAAACCTTACATAAGTCAGACAGGCCCTGGTGAGGCACCAAACTTTCTTTCTGCTCTTTTAAACAAAACATTAATGAGACGAGATGGTCCCTGGTGGGGCACTGCAAAAAAAGAGAGCTAAACAGTCAATGGAACCTTACAGAACCTGAATGGAAACTTATCCAAACCAAATCAATATATCATGATCCCGGAGTGATGACGTAACTGAGACCTTGCAGTGCCCACCAATCTCTAAAGACCTCTTCCATGCCAGCAGTCACTACATTCTCCATCTCAATGAGCACCTGAGCTTGAACGTAACTGTGGAACAGGGCAGACAGTTAGGCATTACAACCCCATCTACTGCCAGCTGCCTGGTCACTATTAATGGTCACTGTACTCAAGCCCAGGATCAGGTCTATGAGGAGGCCTTCCTTTCTGCCCACCTGACTCTGCACAGACTACCCTTGGGCTAGATTTGTGGGCTGAATGCAACGAGAAATTTGAAGGCAGCCCTTTGAAGAAACTAAAGAGTGGCTGCAAATGAAAACATTCAACATAAACATGTGATACACTTTCCTCAAGGCCACAGAAACTGCTGGCACCTTGTGAACCTACCTGATCTTCTGTTGCAATGGGACACTGTGTGCAACACTCTCCATTTCAGATCCCTAATGAAAAGAGGAAGGACCCCCTTATAGATAGTCTTGACTTGGGATCTTTGCTTCCAGAAAGTAGGATGTCACACCAATATGTATCCGAGTGGCGGCCAAAGGAGAGAAAGTGGAGAGTGTGTAGCCACAGCTCATAGAAAACATTTGCATGAGGTTTTAAAGGGCACAAAAGTAAATCCCCTGAGACTCCTTGTATTTCGAATGAGGTTCTGGTATATTGGACCGTGTTCCAGACAGAAGGGGTCAGTTCATCCGGATGCAAACAGCTTCTACATCGGCATTGACAGTAAGGTTTAGCAGTAGTCAACAACTTAATTTGTTTCCACTCTTCCAATCAGTGGAGAATTTATATTGACTGACCTGACTATTTTAATCACTTGGCAGTATGTTAAACAGAAAATAAATCTGGCATTTGGTCAATGAAATAAACCTTGTCATCTGTCACAAAACATAAATTTTGTTCAGGTGCACGAGTTCAGGGGAAGGCATAAATTAAAAGAACTGTTCACTGGAAAGCAATTGGTGAGACTAATCATTTGTACAGTTTTATAACGTATTCAGTCCTTTGTGTCATGAAAATATAGGTATGCTTTTTCTAAATCTTAGACTTCAGATATGTAAAGTGAAATTATAGCATTTATAAACTCAAAGTAAGACCAAAGTTATCATTTAATCCCTTTATCAGAATTCACAAAATATTTCCAATTGAAATATCTTTTGAAAATAATTAATTTTGTTTCACTTTTTATAGCTGTTAACAGACCTGCAGTGTATTTCCAGTACTTTTTGTTCGCATTTCACAATTTCAATATTACAGCTTTTTTAAATCATTTACATTTTTAGTCCTGTTCACAAATGTCAGTTTGTGCTACTGTTCAGCTTAATTTCCCATGAAAACAGCAATCAACCATAAATGGAAAATATTGGTTTCTCCTTCACTTACCCTCACAAAACTGGCCGGAAACCAGCCTTCTTCATCGTCGATCTGTCCCCACCACCAATCCTTGTTAGAGGCATCGAGGACTTTAATAACGTCCCCAGCTTTGAATGCCAACTCACGGTCGGCCATTGTGACGTGATCCCATACTGCCTCAGCACTGACAATGTAACCGCCACTGATCAGCTAAAAATAAACACAGAAAAGGAGAGAAAGAAAAAAACATGCGAGATTAAGGTTATTATCATCACAAAGAATAGAAACCATCTCACACACAATCTCTGGTATATGATCACACTTTATTTGGAGGTTGATTGACTAGATAATTATATGATGTATGATTGGTTAAAGTTGACAAAATGTGAATAGAACCCAACAGACGAGAAGAAAATTACTGCAAAGAAAGAGTCTTCTTTTGTGAAACAAACAACCGACTAAATATGGATGAGACACTCAACAAAAATTTGTTTAATCCGTTTCTTTAGAAAGGAATCTGGGATGAGGTGATCCTCAAGAATGTAATGATTTGCAGGGATGACAATACATAATACTCAATAACTCAATGTGAATAATTAATTCAATAATGAGGGCATTTCAAATTGGGATCACTGAATTAGAAAGGGGAAAGATGAAAAAGTTTACTGCTCCTGATTATTATTGAGCAATGTTATTGAAAAAGCATGTATGTCAGTGATGAGTTGTCATATACCTGTCAAGGTTCAATGTGAGCAATGACTGATTTCCCAATACCTTGGCTGAAAAAAAAGGAGAAGGGATTGCAAGATGAATAAAGTATAGGTAAAAAAGATGAAAACTAAAAAAAAAGTCATGAAGTACAGTCATTTGCTTCATCAAACTCAATTATATAACATATTGTTCAAATACTAACTGAGCCAAGAATTGATCTTTTTTCTCCGTGTATGTTTAAATTGGGTTTTTATTTTTAATCCACAAGTCAAAGACTTAATCCACCAACATGTTCTTTCCTACTGTTTGGGGCTTCACACCTTTCAGTACATTGATCTAGACTACCCATTTTTGCACATAAAACTACATTCCCAATTTACTTAATATTTTGGATCACATCCATCCCTAACCTTTAAGTATAAAACATGTTTTCATTCTTCGAGCAGCTCAAGGAGTTAGTGATTTTAAAGATTTTAAACTCAGAAAGCTTTAGTTAAAAAAAAACGTTGAATTCATTCATACCCAAAGTAGACATATTAAGATAGTGGGGATTGATCCCTGGTCCTGAATGGATTGGTGTGTGTAATTTTGAGCTCTGGAGACTGAGCTCGTTAGCTTTGAGCCAGTGAACTGTGGACACTGAATGAGCATCCCGGGAAGGAAGAATAACGGTGTTTGCAGCAGGATACATCATGAAGGTTGGACGGAACAGTCACAATGAGGAGGAGAATGGATAGCGGTTGAGGTTATCTTCATGGGTATGGAACTTGGCTATCAATTTCTGCTTGGTGATTCTGCATTGTTGTGTATCTCGAAGGCCACTTTTGAGGTTGCTCACCCAAAGATCAGAGGCTGAATGTCCCTAACTGCTGAAGTGTACCCCAGCAAAGAGGGAACATTCCCATCTGGTGATTGTTGCACAGTGTCCATTCATCTGTTGTCATAGTGTCTGTATGGTCCCGTGATTTTGGGTTCATGTTGCACTACATGTAACCCCACTATACTATTCTGTATCTGTAAAATCTTCCTAACTGTCCTGTTTTGATACCATCACCTGGATAATTTGTTGTGAACTCTCGACCTTAATTAGTTTGTACAGTTTTAGATTACGTATTACTTTGGTTAGACCCTCGGCATGTGACTCTTTTACCTATCATGTTATTCCAGCCATTTGGTTTGTCTCCAGCACCACCTTATATTTTAATTTTTTTGTAATTAACTCTCTGCCTCAATTAAATCGGGTCATAGGTCATCCCTTCACTTGCTAGTCAGCTGTTGACACTTTACTCACACATCTGACACTTTTGATCACCTGCAAAGACTTGTTATTCAGTCAGTCAACACTCCACTCACACCATTTGTACGATCTTTTCATTTCTCTGCCTATAAATTCTGTGCCTGTGTGCTTCTCTTCACTTCACCTGACAATAGAGCAGCGCTCCGAAAGCTTGTAATTTCAAATAAACCTGTTGGACTATAACCTGGTGTCATGTGACTTCTGACCTTATCATCCCAGTCCAACACTGGCATCTCCACATCATGAATTAATTTATGAGCACCAAGTGCATGATCCTCTGACGCTAATCAAGGAAATATTTACAGAACAGAAGGAGGAACTCTCCATGTTAGACTACGTAGCAGAGACCCTACAGCAGTTCTATGTGGTGGTTTGGAAAAGCTTAAATCCCTAAAAATGCCACACAAATGCCAGGACTTGAACCTTCCAACCAGAAGACAATGTTAGTGCTCCTACATTAACATCAGATGAGCCCTCAAAGACCCAGTTTAGTGGCCCATATAGAATAACCACAAAGCTCAGAGAAGCAAATTATCTGATTGAGCTTCCAGATCAATAAGGAAAGGCTGTGTCATGTCACATGATAAAACAATACCCTGCTGAGAAATTGACATATAGTTAATGGCCTGTCCTGTTACCACCTTCCCTGGTGGTTAAGTGTAACGATGGGGTTGAATTAGAAGACGTGGCTGAGGCCTATATTAAATCTCCTACTTCCCAACTAACTGAAATACTGGCAAATTTAAACCCCTTACTCATCTAGTGCAGAGCAGTGACCAGAGTTAATGAGGCTTTTCACTACTTTTAAAGTTGTATGTATTTCAAGCAGGCTTGTTCACCCTTGCTCTACATGGTGTGAATGTGGAAAAGCCCTTTCCCGTTAGACAATATCACTATTGGTTACATTCAGAATCGCTGCTCCAGGTTCAGGAGGAGCCTAATCAAATCTGTATGCTGTCCAAGTCTTTATGTATGTGGACACAGACTGCTGGAGTGTCACAGCAGCCATGATTAATACCGAACATTGAGCAATCATCAATGATAATTCCCACTTCCGACCTTCTAATGAGGAAAGATCATAAATGAAGTATCTGAAGATGGTTAGGACTAGCACACTATCCTGAGGAACTCCTAGAGTGATTCGTTGAGAGGAAATGTTTGCTCAACTGGTACTAGAAGTTGAATAAGCATTCCGACGGAGGGTGGGGAGAAATGATGAGGACAGTGGGCAAGCTACAAAGATCTGTTGAAGAGTCATCTAGACTTGAAACATTAGATTGCTCTCTCTCCATGGATGCTGCCTGACCCGCTGTGATTTCCAATATTTTTTACTTTCAGTACAGATTCCAGCATCTGTCGTAATTTACTCCTACCTAAGCTAAAAAGCCTGCTTGTTGACAATGTACATGTAGAAACTAAGAATTCTTCATATGGCATTGCAGAGGGACACCATGTCTCAAAGAAATCAGAAAGGATCAATGTTAGATCCTTTAGTGACACCAGGTATGGTGTTACATGTGCACAAAGAGAAACTATTGGATATGATTTTTTGGCTGCAACTTTTAGATTAGAGCAGAACCAAGTGAGTGTGGTCCCACCCAAGTGGCATTGAGTGGAGGATTAGTTATTAGAAGAGGTTAGTGCGGTCAACTATATTAAACCTGTAAACAGGTTAAGTCATTGCCCTTACGTTTGTCATAGTTACATCGGATGTCATTTCTGACTCTCATAAGAGCCTTTTGGAATCTAATTAGTAGGACTCAAACGTGGAGTTCCAGAAAGGTCAGACATGGCTGAGGGCGATAACAATACATTCATGGATTTTGTGGAGGGGGTTCGTCATTAGCAAGCACAGAGAGTTTAATAGAAGTTTGTTTTTAATCAAGCAGTGACGATCACAGAAGTGAAAATGAGGAAAAATATCTGAGTAGAAACAACAATTAACAATAAGACTAAACCTAAGTAACATGTGCTCCACACAAATGCCAGGCAATGACCACCTCCAGCAAGTGAACCTAACCTTCACTCCTTAATTTCCATGGCATTATCATCATGAACCCTCCACTGCCTACATCCTGGGGGTTGATCAGAAACTGAACTTGACTAGCCATATAAATACAATAGCTACAAGAGTAGATCTAAGGCTTGAATCCAGCAGTGAGTAACTCAACACAAGACTCCCCAGAACCTGTCTACCATCTACAAGGCACGAGTCAGGAGTGTGTTGGAATATTCCCCACTTACCTGGATGGGTGCAGCCCCAGCAACACTCAAGAAGCTTGACACCATTCAGGAAAAGGCAACCCACTTTCATTGGCACCACATCAACAAATATTCACTCCCTCCACCATCAATGCTCAATAGTAGCAGTGTGTACCATTTACAAGACACACTGCAGAAATTCTCCAGGGCAATTAAGGATGAGGAATAAATACCGCTCTACAAAGAAATTCCCACATCCCATAAATGCACTGAAGTGAATTACAATTGAATACTACAGAAGAGGAGTAAGAAGCTGATGGATAAACGTTCTAGTTGATTTTAAGTGCTTGTCTGCTTGATTTTCATCAGACAGGCTGGGTTAAAATTGACCCTCTAGTTTCATCACCCTTCATTAAACAGTACCATATAAAAGTCAAGGAAAGCATCGACCCAAAAACACATTTCGAAGAAAGTTTGATTGAATCCCTTTACCGGTGGGAATACAAAGCTATGGTTATTGCAGCATAATGAGAATAGACTAAACCTTTGCGAGTTGACCATTGCAAACAGATAATTACAAGGGCACTTAACACCGAACACTACTCTTTACTCTTGGGAGTGGTGGATAGCAGTGTGTTGTCTCTTCTTTATCTAGTAACAACAGTAAGCATTTTACAGACACATTTCAGTGCATAAATCCCATGAAGGTTTAGCTAGCTTGCAGGTATAGGAAAAAAGCTTTACTCTGAAAGACAATCCACGTCAATCTCCGAGAATTAGAAAACAGAAATAATCTCCAGTGCTCTCAAGTAAAGAGTGATTAATTTAAGGTAATGCCTAAACTGCCATGTACTTTTGCTTAAAGCACTGCAGTAGACTTACCTGGTTCAGTTGTCCTATGCATCCAAACCTCTGAGGCTGATACTCTATGCTTAGTACAGCCAGGTATTAATTACCTTGCATCCATTTAATGGTTATGAATACAGAATGAAAT